CCCGGCACTGGCTTATGCCTGTGCGCTTGGAACTCTATATAATCCTCACATAGGGAGGAGGATACCCACTATGCAAGGTTTGCCTTTCTGACACTCTGAGTGAAGGACCTTCCAAACCCTTCAATCAGGCCTGTCAAACGATACAAATTCTTCCAAGGGAGAGGTAAGCCTGGGTCAAAAAGCCAAACCGATACCTCACTGTGGTGCTGGTGAGGGACAAATGCCTTCACGCACTCTGGCGCGAAACTCGCCAGACTAATTCACAGCTCGCTGTTCGATTCGCGCACCGCTATCTCGTCGCAGAAGAAAATTCGACACACGACGAGCAGCGGCTTCTTTGAAGCGGCCTAAGCGCTCCCTGTACAAGCGCTCGCATTCGGAGCAGGCGAAAAAACGACCCCCACCCAAAGACAAGTCGAGGGGAAAGGCCAGCAAAGCTGGGAAGCAGGTCAACAAAGGCTGCTCAACCTTGCCTTGGCTGGAAGGTCGCTCATGCGACGTCGGGTGGTAGACCCCAAGCCTCGGCGAGGTGGTGCAACAAGCGGATGGGACTGGCCGAGAAAATCAAATCAAGCCTGTGAACAAACACCAACACGACGCGACTGGGTTGTTACATTGTTCCAAGCCCCCCTGAGCAAAGGCGGCTCACCTTTTTAGGTTTAACGACGCCAGTTGTTTGCAAAAGGTCTCAGGGGCTAAGGTCACACCAAAGACCAGAAATGGACGAAATCATGAAACTTATGCCACCATGATATGAGCTCAGAACTCTTGGTAAGCCATGGTGTTCCAGCCCCCAGAACGCAGACCCACAATCCTCACAAAAGCCAGGCAGGCAATAACAAGCCAATCCTGAACCCAAAAAAGGCCCAGCGGAAACGGAAAACAGTCCTTTGACCAAAAGCAAAAATAAAACAAACCGCAAGTCACGCGGGCCCCGAAAACCTTTGCACCACATGCCGCGAACCCTTACGTCAAGCAGCCGTCGGCCGACAAGAATCAGGCCCTCCAATCTGTGACAATCTCGTCCTCAGCGGAAAGGAGCAGGGCAAGGGCCATCCTCATATGGGAACCAAAATCCGTACCCCAACAATTGGTGGGTTTCCTACTCTCCCTTGAACGACCCAAAAGCACAACTGGAGGTGTCTCTGAATTAGGCACCCCATGGAACCCCGAACCTCCAGCTGGGAGGCTGTCACTTTGCACAGGCCGCGCTGGAGCTTTTTTTTCACAGGCGAAACCTACAAAATCCTCGATCCCCGATGGGTTTCGAGTTTCGAGTCGGAGGGTTCCCCAAGTTTTCAATTTCGCCTGGGTTGTCAGGGGCACTAGAATCCAAACATAGGAAGTCATGGCCGGACTCATGTAACCGTATGAGCCCTGGACAAAGCTACTTGTTTCCCCAGAGGACATAGTTATCCCCACGTCGTTTGTGGGAAATTACCTCTCGTATCCTGCTCAATCCAATAGCATACTGCCAAAATATTGCTCAGCTATATACTCATATGAGCATTCCCCCATTGCATTGCCTGTATTTTGTGGCCGGCTTTGCACATGTTGAAGAAGTGGATTGGGAGGCCTTCCTGAGTTTGGTGGAGACTGGCAGGAACAGCGGTGCTAGTTCGCAGTGCGTCAGCTCAACAAACTCGAACGCAGAAACACGCTCCAGAGAAGAAAAAAAAATGGCGTGACCGCTCAGCTGCTATGCCGGTTGTCGACCTGATGGAGCCCTTGAAGGATTCCAAAAGGGCCGCGGTTTTTGACGTTCGACAACTGTCGTGATGCTTTGGCAACAGTGTTCGCAGAAATGGGTTTCGCCCCACTGGCCCTGGAATGTAGAGCAAAAACAACTCCGTGCTCGCCTGAAAACAGCTTTTCACCCCCCTCTTCCAGCGGCTCGTGTTGCCAAGTGCCCACCGCCCACCGCACACCCCAAGGGGCATCCATTGCCTGCTTGGAGCCGCCCAGAGACAAAAACACACATGCCAGTTCACAGAAGGATTCCATTCCAGGGACTTGGTCATCAACCATCCCCAAAAGGACACCACAGGGCATGGTTCAGCTCCCTACCAAGAACAACAAAACGGGGTGAGCACCACGTTACCCACTGAGGCGCATGGTTCAGGAAGGCGATGTACTGGAGCACTGGAAGGAAGGGCAGGCCGAGGCACTGGCGGCAAGCAGGAAACCATCACCTTACCCCAAGTTGGTGGCACTTGCCCTATTCCTAGGCAAAGTCTAACTTTTAACGGGTTAAATGGAAACCCGCACTAAACCACAAAAACCAAAAAACCTAAGGAACCGGACAAGCCACCAAGATTTGGTTCAATAGGAACTGGAGTTCAAACCCCCCAAGCCGCCAATCCAAACGCTTGCTGCGTTCCCTGAAACGGGGGGGCGGGGGGGAGCAAGGTTCCTGTGTCTTCGTTGAACCCAACAGAAACCCCCTAAGAGTGGTGTCCATGAGAGCTTTTGCTGAGCTTTCGAGCTCCAGTGCTCTCGCGGTATAAACTCCAAGGGTCCATGAATACCAAGCGCCCGCAAATCCATGAGACACATTTGCTTTGAGACTCAACCAGGTCGATGGGACCTCAAGTTCCTGTAGTTCCCCTAAAATGTCACCCCCACCAAGGAAGATTCCCTTCAGTAGCCCAAACAGTCGTGTTTCAAACCACCAAAAGAGAAATTATATGGGGACCCCAGAATTGAGGCGTTCTTCTGAGACAGTCGAAAATCTGCGCCTTTTGGTTGCTCCGTTGATGTTTTACCGTTACAAATAGCCTTTCATCGCAATGCCTGCTCTCTCTCTCTGGCTCTCTCCTCTTGTTCTCTGTCTATCTCTCTCTCTCTCTCTGTCTCTCCCTCTCTCTCTCTCTCTGTTGTTCTCTGTCTCTCTCTCTCTGGGTTTTGCTCACAAGTGCCATCGGATGCTCGATTCGACCCCGTTCGCCCCCCTTGCCTGCACCCAACCTCGGCAATCAAACAGAGCAAGAGTCAGGACTGCCACAGTCGGTGGCTGCTTTGCCTTTTGGCAAGGAAGGAAAGGGCAACCCAAAGCTGACAACAAACGCATAATCGTGGATGACCAGATTCAGTCAACAACCCCCCCCAAAAAGATGATGATCAAAATCTATTGCAGGCACGGAGTTGACTGCCTGCGATCTGTCCCCGAAGGCAAGAGTGGTGTCTGAAGACCGGAAGCCACGAGCAAGTGGGGCTTACGAGAATCAGTGGAAACCATCGGCATGTCATGGGGGCCATGGCACCGACTCCCCTGACGCGGCTGTGCCGCTTGCAGGTCAGCAGGTCAGGAGAAAATTAGTAGACTTGTTGATCAATTCCCGCTTGCCATGAACAGGAGCCAAACACAAAGGATAAAAGTAGATCCGACCACAGAACAGGCTGCCCTCTACAAAGAGCGCTCTTTACCCCAGGAGTCAAAGCATGATTCGCAAAGGGCATCCGAAACAAGGAAAAGCTGACTAACCTGGAACCCCCCTCCCAAAGCCCGCATTTTCTGGGCCGGGGCGACCCCTTTGTTCCTTCCAGAGTATCAACCGAACATTAATGGATGCACACACGTCTGCCAGCACTCTGGCTGTGGGGTCCCCCTCCGTCTCCGTCTCCGTCCAAAACTCCAGAATCTTTGTATGAACTGGGTTGCTCTCTCTTGCAAAGGTCTATCCTTTTGTCGGTTTACTGGTCAGCATTAGTTTCCAAAAAGGTCTAAGGGGCTAAGGCCTAAAGACCAGCCACAAAACCAGCGATTCGGACTCTCATGTTGCGGGGGTCTCTCCAAAATAGAACCAACAACAAGTTCCTGCGTGCCAGGTGGCCGCTTGATGGACCTTCGTTCTATCGGGGCCGGCAGAGAAATGCAAACAGCTACACTAAAGCACGCTACAATGATGTGATGGCGATCTCTGCGCGCATGCCAAAGCAAACATTGCTATAACCCAAGAATCCTCCAACACACCTCTTGATCGCACTTCCCAACAAGGAATGCCTAATTCCCAACGGAATCTTCATGGATTGGAGAATGCTCCAAGGCTTTGTCGGAGCTGTGTCATGAGCACTTGCGGCTGGGCCGCAAATCATCAACCAGCTCTTTGGGGGCGGGGGAGCCCTGGGGGCGTTCAAAACCGCCATGGCTTTGGGAAGAACCTCCAAAACTTTAAACAGATCCAAAACCACCAAGGG